AGTCTTTAACAGCTGATTGACATATGTGAAGTGGGGAAAAGAGCCAGTCCATGGCCACTGGTGACTTCCTTGATCCTCACACATGGAGCAGCTTGGATCTGATGGTGACTCTGGAACTTCAGACTCTGGTGACTTCAGTATGCTTATAGTGGCTGGTAAGGAAGACCCTATGTCAAATGGAGCCAGATCTCAGAAGGCATCCCCTATGTGCCTCTCTACTTAGACAGAGGCATGCACAATACGCAGGGGGAAAGGATAAGCTAAGATATCCCTTGAAGTTTGCAGGCCAGTTTTCACCCTCTGGTCCCCACTGTGAGCTGCACATCTCCTCAGGTGCATTTTTCCTTTAAAAGAATGTGCTCGGAGAGCTCATGCTTGATTTTAAAGGCAAATCTCACTCTCAGAATATCCAAAAGAGTGTGGTTTGTCATTAAAATCAAGTGCATGCTCACCGGGCACTTTTTTTTAAAAGGGGAAATGTGGCTTTTCATTGTCACTGTGCAACTGCATGAGGCAGTGTGGGGGCAGCCATGGCGGCAGCAGCATTTTGAAGGGGGGGGGGGCAAAACAGGTCCAGGCAGTACAGGCAGGGTGTGTGTTGTTCATCCCTCCTTATAGTTCAGTTACAGATGTGGCCCTTTGTACAACCCACAATCGCTCTTTCCCTCCCATATTTGAAATGCAATAGAACTTTTGAAATCTGTAACTCTAAGGGAGGATTTTTCAGTAAATATCTTTTCTTCCAGAGAAGTTTGAATATTTACTTTACCTTAAACTGTGCCTATGCCCTGCTAGTCTAGGTTCTAGATTTTTTTTTTTTTTTTTTGCATTTCTAGGCAAATATAAGAGAACAGGATAATTAATACATATGCATTCCACTGCTCTACTGCAGGAAATGCTTGCAATGCTGAGCATCATATCCAGAAGGATGCTCCATGACATACCTGTGGAATTATAGCTTGATCCTGCACAACATTTTCTCTTTTCTGCCCTCTCAGTTCCCCTTCTCCTTTCCAGAGCTGGTATCAAAGGCTGGCTTGGCTAAGAACCTGCCAAGACTCTACATGCCAGCAATGACCCAAGGAGAAGGGCCCTCTTGGGTTGCTCCACCACTTCATCTTGTATACTACAGAACGGGGGAAAGGACAACCTGCTTGTTCATCTGCCTCTCAGTCATCTTCCGGAAAATAGTGGCACTGCGAAGGATGTGCAGAAATGCCACTGCCTACGCTCCCTGGCTTGCTGCATGCTATGCAAGCAAACAAGAGTGAAGATAGGAAGGACAACAAGACGCAATCACACCTGGGGACAAGGGCAATGTGAGGCGAGCTGCCCCAGTCATTCTGCCTTCTTAATTCTTTCGTATTGTAGTGGTTTCAAATTTGGTACCTGTCCCTAATACAGATGAAGTTTTGGAAGCCTTATTTTTCTAATCCATTTGTGTTGCGCCCTCCAGCAAGAGAATTATGCTATACAGTGCATCAAAATTATTATGAGCAGTATTTATATGCAAGCTATTCATGTCACATGTGTGAGCAAGCATTTTCTAGGTTGGATGCTGTCTGGGCAAAACTTACATGATGACGTTCTTCCTATTTAAACATTTTTTGCTTAACAAAAAAAAATCCTTACCAAAGCACGTAAGAACCAGATATAAATAATGCTAAACAAACCACTTAATAATTATTTGCCTCTTTAAAAAAGAACAAATTTTATGTATGATAGAAGTTTGTACAACACTTCAGAAAAGCCATCATGTGTTAGATTTAAAAATAAAATCAGAAGCATTTTCTTTCAGATAAGTACACATGAAAATCTGAAAATGATCCTGGCTTTAGAAGCCTTTAAAAGTGTATGACCAGCTTTGTACTGATACCCACTTAACAAAGCAGAAATAAAGATACCATACTGTGTAAACAAAAGGGTACAGTAAAGGACATTTTGAAATTTACACAAGAATTAATTCATAAACATTTTGGTTGTTCCATAACAGTTTTCTATAAAATGAATTTTAAAAACCCTTAGACAGCTGTCATCATTCTTCACTATTTTTCCACTTAAATGCACACAGAATACTTTATATAGCAATATACTGGTGTACTGTAACATGGATATTAAATTATGATTACCTTGTTTTAAAAATGAGATGTGTATTACCCAATCAACATTATTGGTAATTGAAATATTGAAATACCCATACATTATGTGTTCTCATCATGTTGGTAAGTATAAAAACATGAAAATATAACTTTACATTATTTCCTTATATACATCAGTTCAGGCTTGACAAAGGAAGATTTGTACACTACACTGAGGAGAAGTAGGCCCTAAGGTACAATCAAATAAATTTTCAAAGAATACAGGAGGGAAATGATCTTTTCCCCTTTTCATCAAAAAAAAAAAAAAAAAAAATGGCTGGAAGTGCCAAATACAAATATTACTATAATTGTCACTAAACAAAGACGAAACAATATCAGGACCCAATGCAATCAACTGAAGCTCACTTTCCTGAATAGATATGAACAGGACACCTATAGATTTCTATCTCCATAGTCCTGAGAATTGGGGGGTCTTGCACGGAAAGGTGCCATGTCACAGAAAATCAGCATAACAATTTGTTATTACTGTTGAGTTCTGTGTATACATGAGTGGAGGATGCAACCTACATAACCCTGTACTAAAAAAATGGGATTTAAAATTTGCAACAGATTTACAGTGTAGTGTTTCTCTGAACAATGTTTAAAATCAACAGTGTTTAACATCAAAGGCCAAGGAATATCCAGAGAAAATAAACCCTTTTTCTTTTCTTTTTTGTAGTCACATCTGCACCATTTAGTCTATACCAGAGGGTGGAAGTAATACAAATTGTGGTTATAGATGGATCTTTTTGCATTTTCAGGAATATAACAGCACCACTCTTAGGGAATAGTAGTTCTTTGCCACTAGTTATGTGTACCTGAAATAGTTCTAATGGAGAGGTGGGCTGACTAAAAGCAATACTAGAAAAGCACTCACTGTAAATATGATTCATTTAAATCCATTTATTGTTACAAATACAGTCATTGTATCTCAAAACTTAGGGCTTTTATGAAAATTAATATAAAGGAACATTGTCAAGGGTTCTTTACCCCTGCAGAAGGTAACAAAAAACCCCAAACTAGAAATGGGTTTGACTCAAAATCTCATTTTCTCCACATGTTCAATTATTCCCATGACATGGAAAAGTGGTCAGGTTTGGCATATGATTTATATATAATTCAC